ACAAAGTATAATAGGACAGCACTAAATCAGAACACATTAAAATAATATCAACAAACTACATGAGCTCAAAAGGGCTGCATAATCCTTGTATATCTTTCAAAGAAACCTCAACCTGAATGAACTTTGATCCACAAGAAAGCCAACTTCTCAATTTTGTAGGTGTAGTGCCTGCTTGTGCATCCATTCAAAGCCTTTCAAACGGATGTTTTCCTAAAGCAACTATATTTGCATTTTTTTGCTTCTCTCAAAATGCCGCATGGGAATGTCTGCCAGCCATAGGAAATAGCCAAGCAGGCTAGCAGTGACTGGGATTTCTTTTAAAATGTTAAATGCATTGCATCACCATGAGAACTGAATGCTGGAAAAATGTTCACAAATTCGTAATCACCAAGCCTTGTGTCCTTGTTTTCCTCAAAACCTTGATGGTTAGCCTAGAGCAAGATTTTGTGGCAGCAAGGAAAATTCACTGTTCTCTGAAATTCTCGTAGACCTGTTTATTTTGGAGCTACCCACACCATATCACAGATTTAGAAAACAATTGGCCTCTAGTTCCTGAACTTCAGAACTGTGTCACTAGTGTCACTGAGATGAAGAACCTACCTTGCCTACAACAACAACCAACAACAACAACAAGCATTATTCCATTAGATGAGATCAATTACATGTATTGCACGATTGCCATTGTGCTTTATCATTTACTAAGCTTTTAGGAATGTTTTTAACTAAGAGGTCTTCATCAATATTTCATAAGTGTTTCTTTGGCTTTCCTCTACCCTTCTTTATGGGGCTCAAAATTTAGCCGTTCTACTCTCCTCACCGATGCCTCCCTCAATCTTCTTTGTACATGTCCAAACCATTTCATACAATTTCTACCATTTTTCTCTCAATAGATGCTACACCTGCTTTTTCTCAAATGTTCATTTCGAATTTTATCTTTATGTGTATGCTTGCACATCAATCTCAATATTCTTATATATGCTACTCTAATTTTATGTTCCTATTGTCTCTTAAAAGTCCAACATTCACTATCATATAAACATAGTTGGTCTTATAATAGTTTGACAAAACTTCCCTTTAAATTTATTAGATATTTTTGATCACAAATAACTTTCAGCATTTCTCCAGTTAAGCTACTTAGCTTGTGTCCTATGTGTAACATCCCTATTAATTTTCCCATCGTGTTGAATAATAGCTCGTAGATATCTAAACTTTTTTACTTAGATATAATATGATCTCTCAATGTTACTTCTAAATATTAGTGACTGAAAAAATTTACAAGGTAGATATTTCATTTTGCTTTGATAGTCCTATTTGGGCGAAAACTTTTCGGCTCTAATATCCTCTACATAACTTAAGTTTGCAATTAATCTCTCTTCTCTCGTCTTCGTAATAAAAATATATCATCCGCAAAAAGCATATATTTGGGGATATCCTTTTGAATATGTTTTGTCAAAATATTTAGATCAGGTCAAATAACTATGACTCAAAGATAATCCTTGATGTAATCTAATCTTTATAGGAAAATCTTTATTTCACTATTAGACGTTCTTATACTAGTTGTCCCCTTATACATATCTTGTATAGCTCAATATAAGCAACCTGGACACCTTTCTTTTCCAAGGCTTTTCAAAGTACTTTTTAGGTACACAATCATAGTTTTTTTCCAAATCAATGAAAAACCATATGTAAACTTTATCTTTGCATCAATGCTTTTCCATTAATCTCCTTAGCAGATAAATTGTTTCTGTAGTTGCCCTGCTTAGCATGAAGCCAAATTGATTCTCAGAAATTCTTATCTCCAATTTTAACCTATACTTAATCACTACAACAAACCACAACAATACGCTTTATCCCACTAGATAGGGTGGTTATATGGATATATGATGCCATTGTGCTCTATTATTTATTAAGTTTTTAGAAATATTGTTAATTAAAGGTCTCGTTCAACAACCTCCAAAGTGTTCTCTTTGGTCTTCCTCTATCTTTCTTAATAGGGCTAAAAGTTATCTGTTCCACTCTCCTCACAGGTGCCTCTCATGGTCTTTTTTGTATATGTCTGAACCACCTCAAATAATTTTCTACCATTTTTCCTTCAATAGTGACCAATATTGTCACAATTGAAGGAAACATATTGTCATGTGACCTCAAACGACAAGCCTATACTTAATCACACAAGCCTATACGTAATCATGTTTTCCACAATTTCTATTGTGACAATATTGTCATATCCTTCCTCCATGGGAGGTTGGATTGTAATATTCAACTCTTTTAATTACTGAACTATTGGGATGGAATGTCATCACTTGCCATTATCATATCATCAACATAAGACTATGAGGATGGAAATCTTACCACTATGTGCTTTAAAAGTCTGCCAGTTAGGCAAAGTTACCAATTGTTTTGCTACTTTTGCAAATCTCTTGATCCATACTTTGGGTGCTTGTTTTAGCCTATGCAAATATTTGTAGGGTCTATGGAATTTGGTGGGTTTGCCATGTTCTTGAAAACCTTGTGGAATCTCCATATATACCTCTTCCTCTAAATCTCGCTGGGGAATGCATTTTTATATCCAATTGAAGTGGCCAGTCTAAAATTTGCAGCAAGCTAGAGAATTAACTTTAGTGTATGGCTGGTTATGGGGGAAAATGCCTTGCAATAGTCATTTCCTTAGGTTCAGATGGATCTTTTGTCCACCAATCAGGTTATTATTTGCATATATTTCCATTCAAATTTTACTTAATAGTAAACACTCATTAAGGCTTAATTGTGATCTTCCCTCTAGGTAGTTCTGTGCTTTTGTTATCTTCCATGTTTGATTCTTCTCCAGTGGCCCTTAACTTCTCATTAATAGCCTCCTTCCATCTAGGATATGAAAACAGCCTATTGGAAGTTTTGTGACTTCTCATTAGCAATAGTTGCTACAATACCTTTCAAATAGGGCAATTTTTCATAAGAAAATTGCTTATAGTGTCATGTGTGATATCTTGCCCTTTCCTTGTGTAATAGGGAAACTAAGTTCCTTAGAATGGGAGTAGGAGCAGCATAATCTTGATTTTGCCCGGAAATATTGAGGTTCTCTCTTAAGCTTCTCACTGTCGAGTGTGCCCTCTTGTTCTTCTTGAATAAGTGAGAAGTTCCTGTTCCTTAGGTTGATTTTCCACCCCAGTTCAGTGTGCTTCAATTTGTCTCAGGTAGATAGGGATATGCTTAGTTTTAGGGCTGCTCGGTCTTGCATTTCCAAGGTTTCTCTTTCAGCTTTTTGCTGCTGAGTGGGCCCTCTTGGTGTTCTTGAATGGGTGAGAAGTTCCTTGTCCCTAGGTTAATTTTGCTACCTCTGTTTCAGTGTGGTCTTCAATTTGTCGATGGTAGGTAGGGATATATTTAGTTTCAGGGATGGTGGAATTTTTGTTTGGAACTGGTATTAGTGGGTTGGGAAGCGATAAATGGTGATGTTATCTGGGCCCCAAAAGGTCCCATTCCATATCCCTCTCCACCTAAATGTGAGTTTGGATAATATAGTGGATCCTCTACAAATGTTGCACTCATAGGAACAAAGTTTTCTTCATAGTTGGTGAATAGTAATGACAACTTTTGAGTAAGGGTTTGCACTACAAGTACATTTGAAGGCTCTCTGTTCAAGTTTTTCTCCATTGTTGTGAATATAAGTGACATGGCTAAACACCTTTTATGGCATGGATGTGATGAGAGATCTGTTAGCTTATTTCCTGGCGAGTTCTTGTAATGTTATCTGTATCATCTAAAAGGTGAAGGTTTGGAAGGCATACAGTTTATCATGTAGATACTGTTTGAGGGTTGAGCTATGGAATTCCCTACCCTTGACACTTCCATTTAATCGAGGGAAACCAAAAGTAATTCCAATAATTACCTAGATTTCTGAAGAAATAAACATTTCAGGAACAGTAGGACTGGCAAAGAAAGATATAGGAGAATGATGAATATTTGAACCTGTTATTTTTGAGTCTTGACATTTATTGTTGGTAACTGGTTTTATTGATCTATCAGCTGAGTATCATCAATTTTTCAATACTACAAATTTCATTCCCCTGTGGAGCTGAAATTGCATCTGCCTTTTCTTTTCTCTCTCCCCTTTCCCTTGCTATGGAAAAATAATTAAATTTGATTTTCTTGGACCTTTATATTCTGGTTTAAAGTGCAATGTATATGTCAGAGAAGAAGCATGAGATCAGTATTGAATGGATAGTACTAATTAAGAGGACTGGTATTGAATGGATAGTACTAGTTAAGAGGACTTGAGAAAAAAGGTAACCAAATGAGGAATTTATTTTCATAATCTTGAAAACTTGAGGGCCATTGAGAATTCAAACCATTGGATTGGTGTTACTTATTAGAAGATCGCAATGCCTGTAACAAATTTTTCATTATACTTATTGGGTAATTAAAAGTAATTTGACCAATTTCATATTTACAGGTTGCATCTCTGCAGATGAAAGTGGAGACCGCCTCTTCCTTTCTGACTGCAATCATCATAGGATTATTGTATCTGATGGCAATGGAGAGATTTTGGATTGCGTATGTATACAAATTATTGAAATTGGTTTAGTACAAGATGCATTTTGATTACGGGTCTTTTCTAGCCCATATTTCTATGTTGTCTAGTGGATGAACAGACGTGGCTTCTGGCTACATAGGCCCATGTTCTTATGCACCTTGTTGACGTTGTTTATTCATGTTTATACTGTTAAGAGAATAGTTTCCATTTTTAGGAGCTATTAAGAATGAATGGAAGTCTTAATAGGTTACGAAAATGATAATTACTTGTAAGTACCTAACTACCCAGTGTACAACTGTCTTTGTGATTATGGTAGTAGTTGCTGATGTTCTTGTAAGGTTGAGTTCTTGAGTTGGTTATTTTTTATTGTTCTTTTCAGAGGGGATTTATTTATGATCATCTGCAGTCTTCATAAGTTTCTGCTTGAGGGGCAGAGTTAAAAGGAATATGAAAAAAGCCTTAGGTTTATAACTTGGCTACTTGATGTGCACCATAATAAAAGCTATGTTATTAGAATAATAAGGCTAGGACTTAGTGTTATACAAATCGAGTCTTTTAATAATATATTTCATTTGGCCCCCTCCCTTTCTCCCTAACTCTAGCTCTCTACTTTCTCAAAAGTTTGGGTTCTTGGCTGGATATGAAGTCTTGTATATTTCCGTCCATGTGAAATTTGATTGTTAAAGGGGTCAAGTTGTCTAAATAGCTAGGGAACTGGAGAACCATGCAAGCTAGGCTTGATGTGAACTATAAATATATACCATGTTACATACTCTGTTATTATGATATTAATTCCATCATAATCACCGAAAGAAGGCCTAGTGAAAAATGAAAGAGATATTGATGGAGACTAAGGTAGTGTGAGATGCCTGAACATTGAGGGTAGGTAAGTGGGTTAGTTCTCCCCCCTCTTTAGCTGGCTTTTTTGGGAGGTTTTAGTGGCCTGCTAATTGGCATCACAAATAGTAGTTGACAGTTTTGAAAAAGGCTACTTACAAATGATTTTGATCATTGTAAGTGTTGACAGGCTAGGAAGCCAAACGAAGTGTCCAAATTTTAGCCGTTAGGATGTTGGCTCTCCAAAGGGGGCCAATTTGATGGAGACAGTAGCATAGGATGCATAAGTCTGACATTGAGTAATATGAGATGCTTTATGATACTCAAGTGGGTTGGTTCTCCCATCTGAATAGTTTTTCAGGGAGGGTGCCTTGGGTGCCCATCAAATATATAACACATTTTAGATATATGATGAAGATGACAACGCCCCAATCAAGAAATGGCATATGAATTGAGGGAGAGTTGAGAGTAATGAAAGTGGAAAGATAATTAAGATAGAGAATTGGAGAGGTAAGCTTGATAAGGTATTTTGATCAGCTCATGTTTGTTTTAGGTTTTCTGGTCCTTGAAGATAAATAAGAAACACAAGGTCTCTGGAAATAATTATTTAAGTTCCTGGTCCTTACTAATGACTTTTCCTAAACTTTGTTCCATAAAGACCTCTTTTTGTCCATATATAAGAGAAACCCAGCTTAGACCTACTTTAAATTCTGCAAATTCAGCTTTTTCCCTGTTATCAGGAACGAGTGTCATTTTATCTTTTTTTTTTTAAAAATAATTTATCATAGTGTTTTTATAGGTATCAAATTGTTAACAATTAACAATATTATTCTCTGGCCTTCCCCTAGCATTAAGAATTTGGGGTGAATTGTTTTTTTTAAAGTTCTTGTCTCTATAAAAGTGAAGGAGCAGCAGTTGGGAGTTACAGTTTTATTGTCTCTTTCAGATTGGCTCTTCCCCAGGATTTGAGGATGGAGATTTTGAATTTGCTAAATTAAGGCGACCTGCAGGTTCTTTTTACCATGCTGCTGAGGACTGCTTATATTTTGTAGATTCCGAGGTATCAATTTTGCTGTTGAGAGTTGCTAATGTACATGATTAGATTTGAATCTATATTTATCATATTTGATGCTATTTTATAAACATCAATCTGTTGTCATTTCGTATTAGTGTTTCTTTCTGATTCTAAATTTCTATTGAGGCTGCTATCTGATGTTGGGATTGGGCTGCTTCTGATGGCTTTACACAAGACATTATATTGCGTTTTCTTCTAGGAGAATAAACTTAACCTTTGGTTATAAGAGTGGTATCTTCAATCTGGTTTCCAAGTGAAGGATGTTGGATAGAATTAAGGCCCAAAAGTTAATGAATATTATATTGTGTTGTTAGCACCTAATTGCTTATAGTGAAGCATATTCCTTAATAAAGGAGTGTCTTCAAGGATAAACTAATAGAGTTAACATGGGGAACGCCTTTAAGTTAGATATACTGCAACATTCAAAGGGGTCCATACATATTGTTAACTACACTTATATTTGTCATCTATCCAAGCTTATATCAGACATCATTCTGTGGTGAATTTCTTAGTTTTTCCCAACATTAGTGGATTACAAGGGTGAAAGAGAGGAAGAATACCTGTTCCTGCACTTCTTCTCCTAGCTATATTTCATCTTCATTCTTTTATAGCTTTTCTTCTTTATATTTTTGGGTTGGGTTTTGACTTCATAAATCGTAGTGGCTTAGTCATTTTATGGAGTTGTTACTTAACCTTTTCATTTCTTCTGATTCCCATCTTTTAAGAACCATGCTATCAGGAAAGCTGATATGCAAGCACGATCAGTGGAGACTCTTTATCCTATAAGTGCCTCTTGCAAGAGCAATGTGCCTATATGGACTTGGATCATGAATAAGCTGGGTTTAGAAAGCAATGCAGAGAACAATGTTGATGAAACATCAGATGTGTTTGGTTCTAAAACACCATATTTACCATGGCATCTGTTGAAATCAGTTGATGATACTCTCTTCATCCTAGACCGCAGGTGAAAGAACTTGATGCTTTTATTTCATGGATAGTACTTGAATGTCCCTTGTTTCATAATATTTGAAATTTTTAGGCATTTCTCTTTTGCTTCCTTTTCCGTTTTCTTTATCATCAAGTGGTCTTATATGATAAGGTAGATAATAGATGCTGACGCTAACATTGTGTAGTTCTTACTATTTTCTTGTCTTAATTTAATATAATGGTTATGTAATTATTTTTCGGTCTTATTTGCAGGTTCCAAGTTGCAGGGATCATGGATTTGGCTTCAGCAAAGATTGACAAAGTTCTTGAAGGTTTAATTTATTAGTGGTTCTATGGTCAATAATGGAAGCCATTGTGTATCTGGTTGCAACTGATGAATTAATTCTTGAAATATTTTGCATTGAAAAAGGTTCTCCTGAAATTTATGAGATATGCAGAAAGCAGATGTCAAAGAAATTATCCCTTTTAGATCATCTAGCCTATGATGGGTTTCAACAGCAAATTGAATATGCCTATTCTGTGGAGGGCCTCCCTCATTCTGGTCTTTTATCTTCACTGACGACCCTGCAGAATCAAATTTTCATCAGTGATACAGGTATTTTGTTTTTTCCACATGCGCCTCCTGGGGGTTTTAGTACTTTCTGATCTTCATTGTCTTCTTTCTATGGTTTGTGTTTACCGCCTAATTTTTTGTCTCTAGTTGGACAGAGGATTTTGAAAGTTGACAGAGAATCTGGGGTTTGTTCAAAATTCCAGTTTTCCAATTTAGGGATACTTGGATTACCTTGTTGGTTGATGCCTCCCTCGGAGACATTTTATGCTACGTAAGTTATTTGTCTCAAAATTATTTTGGTTAATTTTTTTTTTCAAGCAAGATTTAAATCATATGAAACATTCTAACTTGTCTAACACTTTACTGATTGACAGCACAAATGGACTTTCAGATGTACCAATTGATCATTTGCAGTGTTTCCAGTTGCTACCAGGTCATTTTATATTGTACAACTGGCTTTGATTTTAAACATTCTACCATGAATCATCAAGAATTTTTTTGTGATGACATAATTCTGATTTTAGTCCTTTATCACCTGTGATGCTCTGATCATCACTTTATTTTAGGATATAGGATTACTCGATAGGCTGTTCTCTCTCTTTTATGTCATTCCGCTTGTATTTGCAGCAAAAAAAAAAAAAAAAAAGGCAGTAATGATGCAACACAAACATACTGTTTTTTCTTAATTGACTTTGATGGCGTTGAACTTTCTTCAATGTGGCAGGTAAAATTCACATGCTGTTAATCGTGGATGTTCCTCAGGACACTGAGCTAGTACAACCACTGGATGAGGCCTGTATCTGGCGTCAGGCAAGAGGAGCAGCTATTGAAGTCTCAGCAATAGAGGATGTGCCAGGATCGGTAGATAAGGTTCTTGAGGATGGAAGAGGGACAGTCTTTGCTGAAGTTGTCTTGTTCTGTATTTGCAGTTGCTTATCAAATCAGTTCCTGGGTGCAGGTCGGCGTTGCACAACAATGGTACGATGAATTGGATGATCTTGCCTCTCCTAAACCTGAGTCAGAACAAGCTGTTCCAGATGATAATCTGAATAACAATTTAATGGTGGAAGATAAGAAAATTTGCATCACCTGCAATGTCAATACTAGTCCTGGAACGAGTGAGGTATAAATATTATTTTTGAAGCAGCAAAGGAAGATTGCAATGATTTTTTTTTTTTAATAAAAAAAAAAAAAACCCCTCTTTCTATTCATTATGCCGATTCTGCTAGGAAAGCACTGGTATTAAACGAGACATAGATAAGGCAGTTAACATTCAATTGAAGTCTGATTTATGAATACTACTATTAGATTTATATTGTCCATCTGACTGCTACTTACCTCTGAGATTCATTTATGGGATTTGTGTACACTTTTTAAATTTATGCATGTCTAACTTTATCTGGAATTGGTTTTGGTTGTCTAATGCAAGACCAGTTACCTCTGCCCACAGCTTGATAATCATTGTGTCGCAAGTATAACTATTTTGTTAACACTTGGGAGCTGGGAGTCTCTGATTTGACAGGGAGAGTGTATTTCGAAGTATTTTTTCTTGGCCTGAAATATTTCTAAATGAGTTTTGTGATCTCTATTGTCATGCAATTGTTTATGCTTTTATTAGAAGCATAATACTGTGGGGATCATGTTGCCTGTCTCAGAGCAAGGGTTATAAAAGTTGTTAAACCTATGCCTTCCTGTTAACTGAGTGACTTCATTTTATCATTTCATATGTCGCTATCGCTATCTATTACAGATGTTTACAGATTAGTAAGATTTTAAACTTGCTGCATTTTCTTTTATTAAAATTTAACTAGAATTTGCAGTCTTGGGAGTACTATGATTTTTTTTATGGAGTGCCTTTTATTTTAGCAGTCTTCTACACATATTGACAAACCTTGATAATGGTGGTTATCAACCAACCCAAAAAAAAAATAAAAAGAAAAAGAAAAAAGAAAGACAGACTTCAATGCTAATATATCTCCTTTTACACAGGTTATTATTTATACAGTGCTGTATTTGAAACTTAAAAAAGACCCAAACTCACAAGAAGAAAGCCCTGAGATTCATGCTGGAAGGATACTGGATATCATGAGCTCTGGGAGATGCTTGAAGATGGAGAAAGATCTATGCAGTCAATTTTTATCAAAATCTAAAGGGGACTTGAGGGATCTCATTTTCATGAAACCACTGTATGTAAGGATAAAATTGGATAGTTTAGATCATCCAAAGGCTGAAAATGAGAGAGATATTATCTTGACAGATTCATCCATCCAGGTAAAAGTTTCACTCGATTGATTGTAGGTAGATTCATGAACAAAGTTGCGAACTTTTCATGTGCTTTTTGTAATGGTTTTTGCTTTCTGATCCAGATGGGTAACATAATATAATATAAAGCCAAGGTTTTTTATTTGACCAAAAAAAAAAAAGGCCAAGCATTTTTAGGGCATTGTAATGGTTTTTGTATGTTATATATAATTTTAATTGCCCGTGTGTCTAATATATAGCCGGGCATTAAAGGTGAACATTTTTTTAGGGGTTCAATTAATTTTTACGTTTTACACATGCTGGGGAGGTTTCCTAAAATTGGGCTAGGCCTTTTACTTGGGTTGTCTATTGTTGTGATTTGGGTTTTATTTTTGGGGCCTTTTTTTTTTTGCGACTTTAATTTTTGACTCATTGTGAGATTTTAGATGTTGCAATCAATTAAAATTTCCTTTCTTCTGGCAAATCATTGTTAATTGACAATTACTGTCTCTTTTGTTGAATTATTTTGGGATTAAATAGTAAGGAGTGGCGGCATTTCCGCGTATCCTAGTTTCCTTAATCTCTAAGACATAAGCACCGAACATGTGTCTCAGGCCAATTTTGCCCATTTGTTTGAGGATAATTTGTTGTACTAAACGTCTAATGCTTAATCGATAGCCTAGGCATTTCACACAATTTGAACATATATTAAAAAGTTTGACCAATTTTATTCAATGTATTGGTAGACGGATATGGATTGTCTGCCGTGCCTTTATTGTACGATGCTGAAGTCCATTTAATTAACAGTTTTATAATATTTTTTATATTTCCCTGTTATATAAAAGATATATCATACTGAGGGATACTTGGTTTAATTGGTTGAGAGTTTGAATCAGATTATTTTGAAATTGAGTTTGATTCTTGAAATATGTAGCTGTGTCAAATAAAGATGCATATTGCACAAAAGATGTAATCCAAGGAATCTGAATTCATGAGTAGTCCTAATTGAAAAAGACAATAAAATATTGAAAATTGGGCGGGTGAATTATTGGTGTATGCTAGGTTTGAACTAGTTTAAAATAAATTAATATATTTATACAAATTATTGTAAATATAAAAATTAAAAATTCATTAAAATTGAAATTTAATTTAAATCAAAATATTTATTGTATGTTTTTAAAGACTAAAATATATCTTGTATTTCTAACATGATACTTCAAATTAAAAAAAATGTCTTATAATATTAAATGGAGATTGGATAAATAAGTCTTGTGAAATTAGAAAATTACATCAAGGTCTTTTATGGCTTTAATGTAATTTAAAATTGAAGTGTATAAACATTAATGCTCCAATTAAAATATATATCAAGTAAGTAATTTATAAATATTTTATTAGTAATTTATAATTATCACTTTAACTTTTTATAATTGTAATGTCACATATTTAATAGTTAAATTGATTATGTGTTATAAGTTTAATACTAATTGTATATAACTACAATATAAGTAATTTCCTGCCATTACTTTAATGTTTTACAATTGTAATTTTATATATTTTATGGTTAAAAGTAAGGATATTATAATTTTAAATTACACTCAAGTCTTAAGAAATGTGGCTTTTGTTTTAAAATTTTGTAGGACTAATTTCTAAACAAACTTATTCTAGAGGACCTATATGCAATTTTTTCTTAATAGTTAATTTGACTTTTTTCTTTGAATGGTAGGCTATGGAAAGACTGTGTTAACTGACATGTTAAATCATGTTAACGTACAAAAAGTCCCTACAACCTAGGGGTTTAGTGTCAAAAATAAGCACATTGAAATTATCGCTAGAGGCTTGGTGGGACAACCAGTCAATGCAAGTGTTTGCTTCTCTAAAAATGTAATCAAAGGTGATAATCAAATCTCGCATAATAAGATCTTTGTTATTGTTGATAGTGGTAGAAAGAGGATGATTGGTAGATAACTTATTGCGGATTAATGATAGAGTTTCAGTTGAGTTAGAGTAGACATTAACTTTATTAAACTTTTTAGCCCAACGGATAGTAAGTCTTTCTAAGATGCCTATAAGTTCAGTAGCTGTACTTGAGTGGTATTCAAGATATTTGGAGAAACCTTTAATCCAGTTGCCTTGATTGTTCTATATGAGATCGTCATAAGAAGCTGTACTAATAAAATTAAAGGAGCCATCAGTGTCTAATCTAACCCATCCTTCCTTGGGAGGGGAGCCATTTAGCTTTAGTTCTATCCCCTTTTTGAGTGAGAAATTTAATTTTTGATTGGAGGTATTGATCACTAATAATATCCTAAATACTGGTGAGTTATTCTAACTTTTACTTACAGTTGTAATTTTGTAATCTACAAGTAAACATTCATAATTTACAAGTTAAATTTTTTATTCAACACTTGTCAAATAGTGAGTCTCTGTAGAGTTAATTATGCATACTTAAAGCTATAATAATCAATTGGGATGTAAAATTCATGATTCATTATATAATTATAGCCTTAGGTAAGCATAATTAACTTTATGGAGATTTCATATTATGTCAAGTATTAAATAAGAAATTTAACTTTTAAATTATGAATTTTTACTTATAAAATATGAGGTTGTTGTTGTAAATGAAAGCTAAATTAATAAAAGTAGTATTATTTTTATGCCCAACCTCAAATTACACTCAAGTTTTAAAGAATTTAATTTTAATTTTTGAATTTTGCGACACACATTTGTAAATAATTTTTTTTTATGGGACCTATTCATATAATCCATTATTTTTTTATCTTTTTGTTTTTTGAGTGACCTTGATATTCTTCATCTTGAGAAACCTGCAGGCCAAAGCAAAGCTCAATATCTTAGTGATGGAAAGGCAACCCGCTTAGATGAAAAATATTTATGTAGACTAAATTGTTTTAATGAAACAATTTCCATTAGTTTCATTTAAAAAATCACATTTTAAAATATTAGCTCTTCTCTTTTTGGCACCTCAACATCAAGCCAAACGAAAGGAACTTTCAAATTTAATGATTCTGACAATCATAGGTTTGGATGCACTTTTTCAAATTATTCTTATGCTTTCACGTACGTAAGTATAATATTTGTGAAAAAACAATTTACTGATTTTAAAACTAAATTTTTACACAAAAAGTGAAATTCATTACCACTACACATAGAGGTGTACATGAATAGGACTGAGCTGGGCAAGATTTTGTCTGATGCTCAGCTCTATCTGCAAAATATTCTATTAGTTTGGACTAGGCAGGACTGGTTGGAGAGTTTTAGGCTGTTCAGCCCATCAAATAATTGCCTTACCCATAAAATCACAACCCTTCTCATCATTTCCAAAAAAAAAAAAAAACTATCACAAATTAACAATAATAATGCTATACATCAACTCAAAATAGCATCCATAAAGTCATAAACCATAAATTCACAATAATAGTAACAACATCTAATTATCCATAATTTAACATCGAATTTGAAATCTAAAATCACCACAAGTCTTAACACAATATCAAATTATCCATAATTCAATCAAAAATAATAGCTATAATTCAAAATAACAAAAGCTTGGAGCATCATATGAAAAATAATAATTTCAAAGTGTAGGCTCCAATTCACAAAAAGTTTCTTTCCAATTCCCAACTTGCATAAATGAAAGAGAAAAAATATATCATAACTAGACAGAAAAATTGTAAGAACATACATGAAAATTTAAAGAACAATGGGAACCAAAATATGAGAGAATTAACAACAATAATATATAAGTCTGCCGAAAAATTAGCAAGAAATCATAGAAAAGTTAGCAAAAAATTAATAGAAAAATAAGCAAAAAAACTACGTCTAAAGAAACACTTCAATCGGCACTAAAGTTGCATTTTTCCCTCCAAGTGTTGCGTTTGAAGACAAAAAAAAATTATATTAAAATAAAAACTAAAGTAAAGGGTGTACATGTGTATGCGTGAATTATTAAACTTTAGAAAAAAAATATTACTTGTAAGCTGAATGATATTTTCTATCTTATTAAAGTTATCAAACTCTTGAAGCTTATCAACAAACTTAGAGAGAGATTGCCCATTATACAACTAATTTTGCCCACAAATCAATGCTTCCGTCATTTTAGGAGATAGAGAGCTCTTATATTGATCAACTACACATCCACCAATACTAAATGTAGACTCAAAAGCCACTGTAGAAACTAGCATAGCTAATACATCTCATGCCATGTGGGAGATAATTTTATATTTTTCAGAGTTTGAACTCTAAACTAAAAAAAAAAAGGTCTGAACTAGCACTATAGAAACTAATTGTGATCGTGACCAATTCTCTCTCACTCTCAATAAGTCTGAACTCTAAAATAAAAAAAATAATAATTAAAAAAAATAAGGCTAGGCTAAACAGGCTACACTACATGAGTTGCCCATTGCATGGCCCTACCCACACATTGCCCAGCCCAAACATGCACACATTTCGAGCTTTTTTTTTGGCCCAAGCTAGGTAAAAAAAAATTGGGTTCAGGCGGGTATATCGGGTAATCGGTCATCATAAACACCCCTAACTACACACTTCATTTAACTAGTCATTCATATATATATATATATATATATATTAAAATAGGGCTTGAATGACACTTTATGTTAAAATAGGGTTTGAGTACTTTTTTTTAAGTGTTGGTTGACAAGTAATGCTGTAATTGGATTTTTAATAGGGCTCTCTTTGTCTTCTTCTTATCAATTTTATTTTTCTTTTAAGTCTTTTGAATGCGGAGATAATTTAGAATTTTATGATCCTTTTTCGCTAATAATGGATTCTAGGAATTTTGAGTGATTTTATTTTCCTTTGATCTTAATCTAATTTTATTTAATAAAAGGCTCTTTTTTTTTTTCCTTTACTGATCCTTTCTAATGTCTTATGTAAGACAATATACCAATCCTTACACATTTTTGCATGAAAATGTACTCAAGTTTTTTTTTTCTCTTGATCATTTTTTGTCAATAAAAATATAAGCAAATTGTTCTTAAAATCATCTCATAAAAATATCAATTTTTTCATTTCTTATCCTTATGATATCTTTCCCAAGAAACTGTATTTATTAATGGCTGATTTTAATTACTTTAAATTGCTATTTTACTAATTTTAAGTTATTTATTTTTAATTTACACATGGAAATATTCTTAACTCTTCCTTATGAAACATATGGAAAAATTATTTTAAATTTTAATTCAAACCAATAATAATTTTCATTGACTTACCGGTAATTTACGAAATAAAATAAAATAAAATATT